AAATCTAAGTAATTGTTCAGAATGTGGGAAAGAAATTATTTCGTATCCTCTTAAGGCATTTACAACACTATCTTGTGGACATGTGTTTCATAGACTTTGTATTGAAAAAAAACTTTCATTTACAATTCCAAATACGTGTCCATTTTCTGGTTGTAGTAAGGAAGTTGAAATTATTAAAACGGGGCATAGAAGAGGCTCTGAATCAAGTATATCATCAGTAGTTAAAAGGATGGAAAAACATAATATCCAATCTCAAAATTTGCCAGAAATTATAGAAGAAGATATATTGGATGTAGATGATAATGAAGATGGTGAAGGTAATCGTCCAACAGACCAAAGCATTATCCTTTTAGAAAAAGAATCCTGTAAAAAACCTAGTAAAGATACCCCTGAAAATAAATTATCTAGTAAGAAAGTAAAAACTAAAGATGGAAATATATCTATGTTAAAAAAACTTATTGAGAAGCTGAAATCGCCAAGTTCTTCAACAAGTAGTACCACTTCTCAGGCTAAATCTATCACAAGCCCAAGTAATTTTTCTGATTTATACAGTGCAATTGTTAAGGCTGAAGAACAAATTGAAAGTGTGAATCAAGAAATTATTATATACTATTTTGCTTTTGAAAAAAATCTTAAGGAAAAGTTAGCTGAGTATATGAAAGATAATAAAGAGCATAGATCTTAGAGAAAACTTTATAAAGAAGTTGAAAAACAGCTCTCATCTAACCTCTCGAAAAATGCAATTGAGAAAAGAATAGAAAGAGCAAGGAAAATTTATGCCCTTTTTAGTAATATAGGTGAGGATAAAATACAACGGGTAAGATCTTATTCGGCATTGAGAATTTCCAAATTAAGTTGGGACGAAATTGATGCTATAGAAGAGGAGTTTGAATGAGATCATCTTTACTGCGCCACAATCACGTGACTTTGGTTGACCGATCGGTCAGTGGAACCAGAACAGCTAAAATACATTAAGTCACCAAAATTAATAAAAATTTTGTTTTAATATTAAGTATTGATTATATCAAAATTACATAGTTTTTTGTTGTGTAAAACCCATCAAAAGATAAAAAGATAAAATTGGTTGCAAAAATTCACTTACAAAATAAAATTATAACCCTACCATATCATATATCATAATTTATTTTTGACTTATTATACAACCTATGTTATGACTCTTTGCATAATTTATTTATGATATAGGGCATAGGTATAAAGTGCTATTTTTTGAAATAATAGATCATAACACATTGATTTTTTGCAAAAAAATTTTAGTTATGTTAATATATCAAAATGAAAAATCAGAATGCATATAAAAACAGGAAAAATTACATCGAAAAGTGGCATATCTTTAGAGGATGGAAGCATGGGTGTAAGGTTTGTGATGAATACAATTATCATTCGCATCTATATTGCAAAACATGCAAAAAAGTAGCGAATGGAATATATAAGTGGTGTGAATGTGATAACGATAATTCTCATGTTTAGTAAAAATAAACCAGAATCGATATATAATTTTCCATAATTCGTCCACGTAACAAAGATATTCATGTGTAAGAATACCGGATACATATAAATTTATCTGCATTACCTTATAAGGCTTATCATTATGCATGACATATTTGTGAATCAGGGTACAAGTACGTTGTTATTTTACCAATAGACATATCGATCAACAAATATGTCCTTTAATTTATTGGCAAATATATTAATTAAGAGATCAACATTGGTTCATACATCTAATTTCTTATAGATTATAAAAAATTATAAACTATACCTTATGCTTGTACTTTTATAATTCAAGATATTTTGCTATATCATAATAAGTTGATTAGACCTCTGTTTCTTTTCTCACAAATTATTTTATTTTTTACATTATAGCACTTATAGTTTTAAAAGAATCTTTATTTAAAGTAATCTAATTTTTTTTGAACTGATTTATTTTTCTGGGGTATAATTGAAGTTAATCGGTTAAAATCTCAATTTAATTAAACCCCAAGAAATACAAATTTGTCGATCATTAAAAAATTTGTCTCTTAATTTGTGAGCAAGTGTCTCAAATAGAGAATCTACTCCTATTTTTACATTCAATTTCAATAAAAAATCATCGTAAAAGCAAACTTTATACCTATGGCAGCTCCCTTTTGACATAAAATATACCACGTACCTTACTAAGTATAACAGAACTCTGTATTTTCTTCTTGCAAGCTAATTTGTTTTATACATTATAGCACTTCTAGTTTTAAAAGAATCTTGAGTCAAAGTTACTGAATTTTTGAAATATATATTAGCAATACCTTGAGAAAACTTTTTTTTTTAAAAAAACTAATTTTATTTTCAAAAACGATATCCCTAAACTATAACATTTACATTTAATAAACCTTTTTTTTTTTGAATGACAATTGAATAAGTAATAGCAGTGATAGAAGCTTATATAACAATAGTTTATAATGATAGTGATAATTCATATAGCCAGTTATCATAATTTTTTTTCATAAAATTTTTTCTTTTTTTTTTAACAATGCATTTAAGCCAACCAAAAATTTATAATACCAACCTTAATAATTTCGAGTATGTGCCTGAAGATTATGAAGAAAATACTGAGAGTACAAGCTTGGCTATTGAATCTGAAAGTATTATAACAGAAAGTGGTAGTGTTATGACAGATAAATTTGACTTCGATATAGAATTAAAACTATTTCTTTTCAACTATACATGCTTTGATAAAGCACGTGAATTGGCAGAAGCAGAAGAAAGGGAAGATTTCGATATTTTAAGAGAAAACCATAATAATACTAAAACAGACAGTGGTGATATAGTATCAACTTCGACATTCGATTTTGAACCCAGATTAGATGATGAAAATGATTACCTTGTTGAAAATATTATTGAGACCAATACTAAAACTAGACTTAGTCAGCAATTGTTACCTTGTCTAATTCTGGACATTGTTGATGGCAATATTAAATGTTGTGGAGACTATTCTGAATCACAAAGACCACTTTCCTAACTTATTAGAGCATAGGAAATAGATTCTGAAATTTTTTAACAAACCCAGGCAACAGATAGATTATCGATGATAGGAGTTTGTCAATCACATTTTCTTTTTGACCAAAACCAGCTTCACGAAGCACATATTAAAAAGGAACGATCAATTGAAGAAAGTTGGATATTTTGCTGACGATGCTTATTTTGCAACAAGTATAAATATTTTTTTAGTAGGAGTAGAACTTGCATACAGCATTCATGACATATCTTTGGAAAGAATGTACAAATACCCTGTGCAGGTCTTATGGTTTGTTCCATATTTGATGAAGCAGAATCAGAAAATGTTACAAATAATAAGGGAGCTGAATATCGACCCAGATATATATGTTCAGAATATTTTGTTAGACAAGGAGGCCATTTTTATGAACAATATGGCCATGGATATCCAAAATTTGAGTGTAAACATTTACAAAAAAATGATACAAATGATGGACTTCGAATTTTGGGTCATTGGATCTTGCGTATGGCTGAAACCTCTGATGAGGGTAAAAAAAAAAAGGCTCTCTTAACATACTTGGTTTCTATTTTACTGATATTTTTTGACACCAGGTTATTTTTAGTAACTGCAAATTCACCTAGCCTTCTTTTTATTAAAATGGCTTTAAGACTAGGTCATGTCAATATGACCAATATTATAGATCAAAAGCTTGACATTACTTCCGAAACCGCATCAGATTTAGGAAAAGCATTAGGAATAGCAACATGGAATGTACGAAATGAAGTATGAAATAAAAAAGTAAATCTTGAAAATCCAAGATCTTTAGTTGAATATCAAGGTAGATTTCCATTATGCATTTCCAATTTTTTTAATGGATTTATTGAAACATTACAAAAAAAAAAATATGACATACTTGCAAAAAAAAGACAACAAAGAAACTTACTACTGAAAACTTTTGATAAGGATTGCATAATAAGAATATCTGTGTTTCTTATTTTAATAATATTGAATATCACATTTCTGAGTATTAACATATGGTTGACTCATATGATAAGCACCTTATGTAGAAAACCAAAACTATACCACTCTTTTTACAATATACTTTGTGTTGCCAACATAGTATTACACACACAACAGCATGAAAGGATCCTTGAGAAGGCCTGACGATATGAGGCAAAACCTGAAACAAGATTATTACATAGCGAATATATATGGAATCTTTTAATTATTGACAATATTGATTTTATAGAAAGGACTTTATGTATGGAAATATTTATGATACAATGCAAAGAACTGCATATGCCATATTGAGAATGGTCTTCCAGTTTATAATGCCTATGCAACTACACTGTTATAATCATATAAATATTAGTAGTTCTCGTGAAATTAATCAGTCTTTTTTTGGAACATCACCTTTTACTAATAACCTTCTTGAGGTTTATGAATCAGCATTTCAGAATTTTTTGTTTTCAGGTATTGAGGATTGGGACGTAAAAAGTATCCTAAGTGAAATTTCTAAAAATATTACAATTGGATGCCAGGTGCCGCCTCCCAAAGTTGTAATACTTAGTCCTAGAAACAATCCAAATTGTAATACAAATGTTCATAATGCATGTGATTTATTCTATAGTAATATAGGAATATGTAATACTGGATGTTTAGATATAGCTTGTAACCAAGCGATTTTTTATAGATTGATTTCATATAAAGAGAAAAATAAAGATACAAGGCCCTTACTAGGTTAATGGCATACTTTAAAAGATATGTATGTGTATTGTATTGATAAATATTTTTTCAGGATATGGTATCGCCAATATGGCTGTAAAACTTGGGGTTTAGTTTTTAGATAAACTTGAAAGTATTGTGGACTATCAGGCTACTAGTCGAGTTTTGGAATTGATTTGGGTTGCTATTGGCATTGCAATTTGTAAATATTTGTACAACAAAAATCAAAGAATAAGTGATATTGAAAATAGTCAGAATGATATACTCAGAGTTTGTTATCATTACTTTTGTTGGATCGGTTATTGGATTAGGTATAAGATTGGCATTCGTCAGGAAAACTATGAAATGCAAATAAAAAATCTTATGGCATTTGCTCCCCTCTTTCCAGTTGCAGGTAAAATTAACTACTCTAGTTCAGTAACTCATTTTTTATCTTATATTGATAAAGATCCACACTTCCAAGAATTACTTCATTATGTTTGCTCCGTTAATTTAACTCAACTTGGGCACTTCTTTGCTTTTGATAAAGCATTAGAATGTTTTGGAGTAATGTTTGTAAAACAAAATATTGGGGGTAAAACAGTAGACTCAGAGGAACTAAAGCTTCAAATCAGTTCTGTACAAGCAGAAAGGGAATGACTAGAGTTGTTGATTTCTGAATACATAGGAGATATAGTTACTGTTAAAGAAGAAAGAGCTGTATTATCAAGAAAAGATGCTTTATAAAAATTAGCAAATGAATTATTCGCTGCTCTCCCTCTTCCAGATCCAAAAATGCATGAAATTTTTAAATATGCACCAGAATTAATGCCAACAGGATTTAATAATATTTATGCATGTTATGATCTTGGAGTAGCCTGTCTTCAAGAAATTTTGCGACAGGACGTATATAAGGTTGAACCAAGAAATACAACAGGCCGTAGGAAACGCAACATAGTAGTACACAAGCTGCTTTCACTATTAGAACACCAAAAAAAAGATAAGCAAACAAATAAGCTAACAATAAATTGCAATTCACAAAACAGTCAGATTGAAAATAACAATGTAAGTGCCGGGCAATTGTATGAACAAGAAGATACAAAGCGTCAATGTAGAGTTACAAATGATAATGAAAAAAAAATTCTTGGAGATTTACTTAAATATGATAATTTCTCTGAAGATAAAGCCATCAAATATTAAGACAACTTCAGAAACAAAGTAATGACTAGAACATGCAACGTGTTCAAATATATTGGAATAATAATTGCTACAACAAGAAAAAAAAAGTTTCTCCTGATATGTAAACCAATGGTATAGATTTTATGATTTTTAAAACAATCCATATTTTTTTATGGCAAATTTATTTATTTATTTTTTTTTTAATATTAAAGTGACCACTTAGGTCCCCGGCACTTAGCTTTATTCAGATAAATATGATATTACATTAATTTCACAAGGATACAACTAGCCACATGTGTACTTTTGGTACCTAATTTAAGTAGTCCGCCTGGGTTTTATGGCGAATTTATAGTATACAAAATTAATAATAATTACTACTATTTGACATCATAACTTCGATTAAAATGAACAATCAAAGTATCGGTATATGTATAATAATGTTGATTTTGTGTAATACTGGATAATAAGAAAAAAAACTTAAAGGTAACCTGATTGTGTTTTCACTTTATTAAGATACAAAATAAATTTACCTTTCTTTAATTAGATCACTGTTCAAGGGTTGAACCTGTTCAGGCCTTTAGATTTAAACTTAAGAGATAGTTATTTATAGCTACTGTAGGTATTAAACTTAGTGTTATCATTTTGTTATTACTATCATATTTTAATATTTAACTTTTTTAAAATATTTAATGAAATTTAAATAGAATTTTTAGTTGTGTCAGTATCATTTGAACAATATAAAGGTAATTTTAATATATTTACCGTTGACCACTGCTTATAGTACTCGGGGGTCTTATTCAAAAACCCCAATTGAATGGCACCTATGGTATTATATGAACTAGGTACTATATTTGGGGATTACGAGGTGTTTGTTATTTTGCTACAAAATTTTTGAGAAATGAATGAATTAACATAAGCATAAGTAAATATTTCATTTAATCTTTGAATACTTGATATTTTGTTATAGTTAATTCTAACTAATGTATTAAATTAAATTAAAAATAACAAATTAATAGAGTCATGCTCGAGTCTTATTCAAAGAAACAGACTAGTAAGGACAGTTAATAATATCTGGGTCTTAGCCATGGTGGTAGTATTTTTAGAGAATACTATAAGCAGTGGTCAAACAAGAGGAACTGTCAATATGCAATATATAAAAAATTTATTTTACAATACCAGATCATTCCACTAGTCATATTATGATTATAAACTTACACCATTTTATTATAATAATAAGAAAGTGGTGTGGCATTATAATCATAACATGTACTAGCCAAATGATCTGGTATTGTAAAATAATTTTTTTATACGTTGCACACCAGATGAAGGATCAGTTATGTAACATCAACGGTTCCTCCTGTTCAGTGGTCAATAGCAATAACTTTGTATATTATCTCTTAGTAATTTTAATTTTAATATATATAATTAATTTTAATATATAGGGTTTGGGCCCTATAGCTTATTGGTTAAGTTGCCAAACCCTCATGGAAGTTAAGTCAAGGTCCACGGTTCGAGTTAGGCTGGAGGCAAAAAATACTCTGTAATCTAAAGGAGCCAAAAATCAAACACAGAGCCCCGTGGAAGTCCAAGTGAAGTACGAATCTAGAATAAGAATTCCCGAAAGGAGATCTAGCCATAGAGAGTTGGCATTACGTGCGATGGGAGTCATTGCAGAAGGTTTTGAGACAAAATAAATTGCGCATATAAATCCACGATTGGCAGAGTAGCACCAACAACCCCTAGGCGGTCTGGAGGATCTTGATTGGAAGGGTAATACTAGTTGTAACAAAACTGGAGTAATGGGTAATGTGGTGAATATGGTAAAGATCTGTGATAAAGGATTG